CTCGCCTTTTGGCTACGCATCTAATGAGTAACAGCGTCCCATGTTCCCCAAGATCCCCAAATACAATTGCCGCTATTACCTTATGCCGCAAAATCCTGAAAGAGCAAATGAAATTGTATCGGTTGGGAGACAAGATGCCATCTTGGGATCACGTCCTGCGAGCTCGTGACACAAGGAGCGATATTGAAGCCGGCTTTCCACTGACAAAGGGCATGTGACAGCGTCACGTGCATGCAACAAGCAAAGATCGTTCAGTCTGACCGAGGCGCAGAAGACATCAGAAGACGACTGGAACGCTGGACTGGACAAGACATGCGAGTGCTGGGCGGCACAAGATACAGCTGCGCTCAAACGTGACACACACAAAAAGTGAAAAAGATATGCACGTCAAAGACGTTCTTCAGTTCTGCTAATTGTCAGCTGCAGTGGGCCTGAGTGAGGCCAGGTGCATCTGCACGTGTGACTGCATGCTATGCAGATCCAGAAACAAAACTCAATCTGGGAGATATCATCACTCACACATGCTAGCTTGAGTACTAGGGGCACCACAAGCAGATAATTTCATGCTAGGTCCTCCTGCGGCGGCTTGCGGCTGCTCAGCCTGCGTGGGCATGTTTTGTTGGCACTTGCACATAGAGCTTTGCGAGATTTGCTCGTTGGAGTTTTGCCTAAATCTTGTTTCTTTTGGCTTGGCTGCATATTCGCCATAAGAAGGGTTCTTGTCGTACATGAAGCATCATCATGAATCAGAACTGCGCTTCATGTCTTGCCTGTCATGCTGTTGCATCCAGGAAGTTTGTGAGACCAAGTGATGCACGGGAGCGCTCTACATAATTACAGGTCTGGAAGCCTAGTTTGTCAGGCTCTTCAAGTCCAAATCACAAGCCACTGCATCCTGAGGCTCTCTTTGGTCTTTAGTGGAGCAAGTACCATGGCAGAACGGAAGGCGATGACTAGCGTCCAGCCTGTTTCGGCTTGGGCGCCACGTGGTACTCGAATGACCGCTGCGTCAAGACCTCTGGTTTCCCAACAAAAAACCTCGCGCTTCAGTACTTTGAAATGTGTCCACTTCAGGGATCAAGCCTTCATAGCCCCGGCTAGCCTGCCTTTGCTATAGTGCAAATGGGGCAGCGTGACCGAACATTCTTAGTTCATGCGCGTTATTCCTTGCGCATCCTTGCGCCAGTCTCAGGCAAGGGCACCTACTACCTCACCAGAAGCTCGTGATGGCAACAGTTCACCGAGCCTGAACTAGAGCGCAGTTCCACCAATATTGAGAAGCGCAACGCTGCTGGAAAGTGAAACCGATCAACAACAGGAACGAAATTGATCAGGATCTTCTGCACGCGCATCACAAGCGCAGACTGTTTCAAGTCCCTTGTGCTTTGGAATCTTGGCTGACACGCAAAAATTTCTACCCCTCGCCCTTACCAATTACAAGGCAATGGTGCTGAAATTGGAGCAGCGCCCAAAATCACATCTGTAAGAATCGGGGGAATGCTCATGTTGTCATGATGATCAATTGCAGCCGGAGCTGCCATCAAGGCTGCCCTCCAAATCGCGTAGCCCAGCATCACAAAGTAGACGGGCGAGCCAAGAGCTAAGCCTTTTTGCCAAAAAGGTTTCACCAGGGGCTAACATGAAATGTTCGACGTCGGCACAGTAGTCGCAGCAGTGGTAGCCATGGTAGGAAATGGTGATAAAAAGTCAAACAGTCCAAGTAGAGGCGCAGTAGCATCAGCAGTAATAGTTTAGTTTTACTAGTTTTAGTAGTAGTAGTAGTAGTAGTAGGCGCGCCCCCCCCCTCGGGCCTACACTTTACTTAAAATGGACTATAATGGGAACGGGGTGGGGGGGGGGGAGTTCCGTGCTGAGAAAGTTGATTCGCGAGGCAACAACTCGTGGGATGTGCGGTTTGGAAAGTATAGGGATTATAACATTAGGGATTTTCGGCCAATGATCTACGCAGGAAGT